TAAAGGCTTATAAGCACTTTAAACTAATGCTGCGGTTTTCCTTCCCTGGAGGAAATAAATTTTGCTGGATGTGAATGAGCCTCATGTTTCGATGGTGACAGCCACGTGTTACTAAATTGGTCACCTCTTTGTTATTGCTTGCATCACTCATTAAATCGTCGAGAACAGCAAGATTTCTTTGAGAAGGGTCTATCATTTGATTCAGGTCTGCGGGAATACCCTCCACAAATTCAATGTTGGGAAGGGTCATTTTCATTTCTTCAAACACAGGCTGGTACTCTCCATAACACCATAATATTTTTTCAGGCGCATTTTCTATCATGTCTTCCCCTGATTCCAATAGTTTTCTCACAAATGATGTTTTCCCACACATCGTCGGACCACTCACAAGTAAAGGAAAAGGATGCCTTAACCGTGTGTCTACCATGGCTAAAATGATTTAAAAACAACATGTTTACACGTTATAAATGTTTAATCACATAACTTTTTCATTTAATCGTTTGTACATCATTCAATGTTTATAATATTTACATGTTATGTATGAACTTTATTATTCATATTATTGATATTATTCATTATTCTTTATTATTCATTCTAGTATAGAAGCTAATAACCATAAGGTAAAGTATTATAGTTATCTACAATCACTCGTTTGGTATAAACGATTCTATAGTCTTTGGATTCTGATCGCGAAAGAATTTCTCTAGTTTTTAAATTTCGTGTTATTTTACAAGGATTGGTTACTGTAACTACATGGTCATTAGTGTTGCGCACCATTTGTGAAATTGTATTAAAATTAATCATTTGCGTATTTCTAAAATTAAGTGTAATTCCGCGTACTTTGCAACAAGTACTTCCGTCATTGAGTTCATACGCATAGTTCTTTGGACCTCCTGACACATAGGTTGTGATATGCTTATCACCTGTCTCAGACGTTAGTTCGCCCAAGTAATCACCAGTCTGTGGTTTCCATTCTCCTTCTCGAGAGATATAGATGATGGAGTCTGGAAAAAAGTCATGAATAAAAAAATGGTTATTTTGTTTTTTCTTCCAACAAGTAATTTTCAAACTGTAGAATCAATAGAAATAAAAACATTCATCTCGTTAGCTCATAAACAAACGATTTTTAGTTCGAATAATTACCTGTATCAAAATAGAGAACTCTTTCATCTAGTGCTTCTAATATGCTATAGAGCTTAAGGCGGGCGTGGGCAGTGGTAAAGGCTGCTAGAACGGCATTCGTTTTTGCATTCGATGGAATAAAATCATTGGCGTGCAGGTAATGCATCTCAACCATTTCAACGTTCACGAAGCGGACGTTTTGTACTTCAACTGCATCGCTAGTGAGGAGATCAAAGTACCGTTCCGGATCTTTTACCATCTCCACTTGTGTCATATTCGTTCTTTGCGCAAATTTCCCCCAGAAACTAAAAATAARCAAATAAACACATAAGACTAACTTTCAAGTATTATATATCCCTCTTTCTCTTTCTTTTTTATTCTCTCTTCCTCTCTTTCTCTTTTTATCTTGTTTTTTATTACCTGTTCAGCATCAGTTTAGCTAAAGCCCTCAGTCCAGGGTTTTTTCTTATCTTGTCATACTCTAAACGGATTCCTTCATTCTCGCGGTACTCTGTGATATAGCGTTGTTTATCCTCTTCAGTAGTACACCAGCTAGGAAACCCACTGGACTCTTGTTTAATCTTTAAGAATTTATCAATGTACAATCTGAACAGTTCGTCGGACTTGTCAGGAAAGTGCCACACCTGATCCACACGAACAACTCGATATCCTTTCTCCAAAGCTTTCACCAGCTCAATTGATACCCATGTTCGATTTATTGCGCGTTGATTGACATCATGATGGCAAGGCTCTTGTTGCATGTTGTTAGCACATGTACGGCAGAGTGGAAAGGTTAACTTGTTGTTTGATCGATAAGGGAAAACAGGATGATACAGACCACGTGGAGGAACCACTGTACATTTAATTAGGCCAAAATACTCTTCTAGGGGACCAAGGTTCTCACTAATGATCTCGGGATGACCGAGTGGGTATTCGCAATATTTGTTGGCCCATGGATACAAACTGAAAAAGATAACAAAAAGGAAACAAATTAGTAAATAGAAACACTAACACTAATACACCATCATCATTATCATCATGATCATCATCATTATCATCGTCCGTCAATAGCATAACGACAATAAGTTAATCATGAAAGTCTCACCTTGTAAAATCGACGTACTTGATCTTTTCTCCTTCTTGTGCTTCATGATATAACTTTGTCGCATTCGTCCGGCCACCAAACAGCGCTTGTCTAGGTTCCAGAGGCTCAGCTACTATACAAGTGTCAAAGTACTCTCTCATCTCCTCGTTTTCATTCAACTCCTTCTTCAACTCGCACTCCCACTTCTCCACGACTCTGTACCCTTGCGTGATGAGGTGTCTACGACGCTGTAGCGTTTTCTCGTACAATTCTCCCATAGTGTTACCTGTCACTGGATTTTTGGTCTCTCTCGCGAAGCATTTTGAGCAACCATGCCAAAAATCTCCATTATACTCAAAAACGGTGTTACTTTCTTGATGGAAACCATCAACACGATATGGGCCAATTCTTTGTTCACCAGTGTTCCCTGCATGTTGTATGTAAATATTTTCTTTTTCTGCAGTGTAACGAAGCCATTTTAAAGTTTGCACAGATTGTTCGTCTTGTGGAGTGTATCCGTGAGGTGGAATGATGGCAATGGTTTCAGGCTGCAAAAAGTTCTTGCGGAACACAAGATTGCAGGCAGATGCAATGGTGATGCATTTAGCAAAAGGATCGATGTCTGTTGTTTCCATAAAAAGACGACGGAACTCAGACATGGGCGGCGTAGGATATCTACATCTGAACGGCAGTACTCCAGTATCTCCTTCTTCATATCGAACACATAATTTCTCTCCTTTAAATCACTATACCACGCTAAGAATTGTTTCCGGTCTCAAGGTGACATGCCATCGGGGTCGTAATAGCTAGCATCAGGCAGGGGTCCAACGTAATCCTGATTAGCTACCATATTGAAATGGTGGGGGAAATATCCCTTTCTCAACTCAGTCAAATTAAAAGTCTTTGGCAGAGCAGCTAACTTCATTGGTAAAAATGCCATGCTATCCAAAAATTTAATGTTTGTGGTTTTCACTTCCATGGACAAGATCTTGGCACCGTTCATAATCACTGAGGGACAGATCCCATTCTTGTCTAAATAGGATAAAACAAAATACCCGTCGAACCCCTGAAGATTATGTGCAAAGCAAATGCTATCCTCATTCTCCTCTGTGAACAACCATTGACAAAATTCATCTCTCGTATTTTCACCCTTAAAAACCTTTTCAACACCGTCCTGGTCCTGCACCACAATCAAATTAGGTTCGTGAATTCCAGTTTCTTGGTTCGTTTCAACGTCAAAGAACAGAAATTTCTTTTCATTGTTATTGTCGTTACTACTGTTCTCAGTATTCTCCCCTTCGTCGTCATTATAGGGCTGCATGTAACACAAATGGTTTTCTCCCGCAAATTCCTTGCAAATCGTACATTTGACAAGACCGCAGCGATGAGCTTCAGGCGCTTGGTTTTTTCTCTTGACTATCTTGTTGCACTCCCGACATTTCGCTCTACTCATGCATAACGAAATGAATGTTTTGTTTGTCTTCTTATGATTTTGAAAACATTGTTCATTCTTGAAGTAGCGGTTACAATCGTCACAATAAACCCAATTAATGGCATTACATGGCCCTTGAAAGCAGACACTACAAGTATATTTACACTTGTGATCTTCAGGGTGATCGTACCCCTTTTGACAATTCGCACAGAAGTTCTTACGGTTAAGGAAAGCAGGCATGGATTTAATGACGTCATAGTGATTGTCGTGAAGATACAAGTATAATCGTTTTTCGCTTTCAGGACCAGAATATATTATAGCATTCAACAAATCTTTAGAAACAACATTGATTTGATAGCCTTTCAAAAAAGTTTGAAATATCTTTACTTCTTCTATTCCACAGGGACCAAATCTGACAGCTGCATCTCTGTGTAATTTTTCAGCCAAGCTTTTCTGCAGTGTTCCCCTATAGTCGATAATTTTGCAATAGTCAGCATTGTTATCTAACTTGGCTTTAGCGACAACCAAGGCCCGAGCTAAACAGAGATCATCATTGTTTTTTATGCGCACGATGCATTTCTTACTCTGAAGATATTTTTCCAAGTTTACAGTTTTTCGGCGTCCTAGCCCTCGACCTCGGGGCATTGCGACGTGAATAAGATTCACTTCAACGGATTCATCGAGCCTGAAGTTTTCGTGGGACTGAAGAACCTGCTCTACTCGAGTAAGAAATCTATCAGCAGAAAGTTGGTCTCGGCGCATAAACGGAAGAGCAATCGGATATTGAAGCTGCGGCGTGTGCAAAATCATTCGCACTTGATCTCCCCCGGCCATGCCCGACGTAATGCGGTCAATTATTCCTTCAAAACTTTCTTGTAAGAAAGGATGCAAATCATGGATTCCTCTAGCATTAACTCTCTCAAAATTTATCGTATAGTTCATACCTCTTGTCCTGAATTTTTTCACATTTACCTCCTTCATTCCATTTATCCTGTACGATACTGAGGGTGGTGGTGGTGGCGGTGGCGGTGGGGGAGAAGGAGGCGGTATGGGTGGCGGCGAAGGCTGTGGTGGTTCAGCCATCTCGGTAATACGCTGTCTTTTCTTATGGGGCGATCCCTGATGAAAGTCGTTATCATTATCATTATTTATCATGTCGTCGTCACGTAAACGCTTCTCCATACGACCCCCATTTTCCTGCGTAGTAGACATGTTGTCAATGAAGTTTCTAAAGAAGGCGTCAAATCCATTCTCATCATCAGCAACCAAAGCCTCTATTGACTCTCGAATCTCCTGCTGCTCATCCACATCTGCTATCATCACATTCGTCAAGTCTTCCATTTCAGCACACTCAGTAACCTGCTCAGACACGAGACGAGCTCTAGTTTCCAGCGCAGCCATGGTCAAATGCTCGTCCAAGTTAAACATCATTGCCAAGACATCAAGGTCGTCCTCGGTATCACAATTACGGATGAGATTTTCAATGGTATAGTCTGCCATACCCTCAAAGTGTAATCAAAACAATAATCAAAAGAAATAATCAAATTTTACACCGGAAAGATAAACGTTTAGAAAATAAAAAGAAATATATAATTGGTTACTTACTATAAAGTTCTTTTAGGAAAACAAACCAGACGATTATTATTTCTTTTGTAAATAAAATCCTCCTGCTTGCTGGACACTAAATGCACAAATGATGAGTTGTTCAGGGTCTTGTGCTTTCGAAAACATTTACCCGTGTATATAGTGCTTTCAAAAATTTTTCGAATTCTTTATTGACAGTCAAGAATTTTCATTTGTGGTTGCGAGTTTTGGACTTTGTACTACCAAAAATGCGAGGAATTTGCAAGCTCATTGGTTAAGTTTTCTTAGGAGCTTACGAATCAGCATAAAAGCGGCCCCCTGCAGTGACGTTTCCTGTAAAGTATGTAATCTTGTACAGTAGAAACTTTGAAGTTTAAAAATGTACAGCATTTTCTGTTTCAATTAGTAGTCTTTCGCATAATTATATCGGATTTGTAGTGCAATGCTTATAACGGTGTAAAATTTCTTACATATTTTTTAATGAATAGTTTTTTATTAATGCTAGTTAAAAATTATTTTTGCTTGATGTAACATGAGATATAGAAACGGCCAGACAATAAGAAGAGGCTCAACACGGAACAATAGTTTCACAAATAAAAATTAATTAAAGGCTTTGATGACGTAATTACAATGATTTATCGAACATTATTCGTAAGCTTATGAATTAGCTTATAGTTCATAGTTCGTGGTTCTTCCACTGTTTTAGTTGCTTCATTTTGACCAGCGTGCCTTCTTGGAGCGAGGCTCGTATTCTTCAGGCTTTTTAGCTTCTTTAGCTAATTCTTTCATGTGATTTCTTCGTTCTTCTTCAAACTTCTTATAATCGTTTGCCATCCCTTCTATCACGTCGTCAGAGTAGTCACAGCTGCGATCGGGGTACTGAACGGCACAACAAAAGAACGTGCGGTCTTTATTCTTCTCGGTATGACTGACACCAATCTTAGCGTATAGGCAGTGTTCGTGACATCGCGGATGAATTCTCGGGGGGTAATCCCAAAGACGGCTATCCAAGATGTCGTAGTCGGATTTCTTGATGTTCAACTTGCACCCCAAGATCTAGCTCGTTGTCCAAGAACCTTTCTTTGGCTTCTTTCGTCTTGTAGCCTTTACAACATTCAGCCAAGTTTTTGTAGTCCAACTTGGTCCCGCATTTCAGGAATTCGTTCTTGTCTTTGGATTTGTAGACTGAGCAAGGAGAACCACAGAAACATTGAGGTGCAGTAGAGTTGTCGTTGTAAGACATGACTAGTTCGTTTGACCTCGATCTCTTTTCTCTTATCTCGAGTAGATAACTTAGCCTTACTCTGAATTACCTGAGTGTAAGTGTGGGTTTGTATTTCTGTGTTTTCAGCTTTTAAAGCTTTTGCCTCCATGAATTTTACATTTACATTTCATATTTCAAATTCCCGCCGCTATCTTTGGAATTCGTACTTTGACCCTTATGCTACATTCCTTTCCTCCTCTAAAGTATTTCTAACATTCTTAAGGAGGTATTCAGGAATTTAGACCACCCCTCCCCCTACATTCTTAAGGGGGTATTCAGGAA